CGCACCTGCTCCTTCCGGCTTCGAAAAAATAAAAATGTTGGAATGGTGGGGGGGGGGGGGGCCGTGTCCGTTTTTTTTCCCCCCCCCCCCGGGGGGTGTGGCAGCCCAAAAGCCCCCCCCCCCCCGAATTTGCCCCCCAAGGCAAAAAAAAAAGGCCAAGCCCCGGGGTGGGCCCGGGGGGGGGGGGGGGGAGGCTGTGCGCAGGTGGAATTGACTGATGCATCAGGGGGAGGGGCATTTAAAATGAGAAAGAATTCATCCGCAATTTTATATACCATATGTGTATACACTTCTAGGAAGAGCCCCAAACGTGGTATCTCGGAACGCAATGGGAAGGCTGTTTCTGAACTGCTGCTGACCAAAGGAAGAGCCTTGCCAAAGTCACAAATGCAACTATTGGTGTCAAACGCAACAAGGGCGCTATCCGCAGCAAGGAATTGGGGCCAAATCCGAGGTTTTGCGCAAGCGCAACAATATTAAGGGCGGTATACCGTATATTGATATAAGTTTCGGATCAATGCATTACGTCATAATCCTCATAATCATAACTATAACAAAATTGTCAAATCTGATTGGCTATCAACTGCCCTGATTTCAGCCTTAATTGGACAGTTTAATAGGACAGCACGCGTCATGCCTAGGTAATTGGACAGTACGTGCCATCACGCGCGCGCTTAAATGGCTTTTTTTTCACTGCTAGCAAAACAACATTTCAAATTTCTTGTGTTTTGATTTAAAAAATAGCCTATTATATCACACATTTTGTTAAAGTTATGATTAATAGACCTTTTTACCGATACGGCGGCCATATTGAATTAATTCGATTTAAGGAGTATTATAGGATGCCCAAGGGGCATGAGCACATTTCGTTTGTATTTTCAGGCGCTTTTCAGGACATTTTTTCTTACAGTTTTCTTAGAATAAGATAGTAATGGGAAAAACGATCCTTGTGCCGTTTTTAGATGTTATAATGATCGCCTTTTTCTAGTTTAGTATTAGAAATATGGTCTTTCACTGTAGATTTCTCGGGAAAAAGGCGATCATTATTATATCCAAACACGGCACAAGAATCGTTTTTCCCATTACAATCTTATTCTAAGAAAACTTTAAGGAAAACTGTCCCGGAAAGCGCTCGAAAGTACAAACGAAATGTGCTCATGCCCCCTGAGCATCCCATAATACTCCTTAAATCGAATTAATTCAATATGGCCGCCGTATCGCTAAAAAGGTCTATTAGTAACAGAACTTCGTGTCGTCCAATTCGGTCAGTAATCATACTCGTGATTAAACAAATCGGACTCCCGCTACGCGGTCGTCCGATTTTGTTAATCACTCGTATGATTACAGACCGAATTGGACTCCACTCAGTCCTGTTACCATTACTTACTTCACTATTGAGCACGACTCAATTGCAAATCAAATATCATAAGAGTAAAGACTCTCCAATGTTGCATCGGTCGAGCAAAGTGAAGATATCATAGAAAAATCCGGGATTCCACTGTACATATTGGGAGTTTCGAAACTGAAAATCGCTGGTAGGAGAAATCGGGGATTAAATTAAGCGATTTCCATGCAGGCGAATCACTTTTTGTTGGAAAAATCTGGATTGCACTGTATTATTAACTTTTGGGAAACCTGAAGATAAAAAAAAGGCCACGAAATTCTTAGGTGAACAAAACAGGTTCTAATCACTCAGACGCAAAAGCCAACTAACACTCAGCACGAATTTTTTAACAAAATTTTTAGCTCTCCTCGAGAAATGGAAATTTCCCGGCATCTAGGGTGGGTTCGATTGGGAAATACTGAATTTAGATTTTTAACCTGATTTCTGATTTTGGAATCGAACGAAAAATCCAAAAACGGATTTAAACTACGAGAAATTTGTCCTCGAGATGGGTAACGGGTTTCAATTAAGAAATCTAAATCCGGATTTTATGAATTTCGTATTTACCGTTTGACTGGGAAATCCGAAAAAGGATTTGCAAGACCATTCTCGAGACCAGTGATCTTTTTTATGCTGAATATGCATACGTGGCAAGAGCGCTGTTTATAAGAACAGTTTTTCAAATCCTTTATAGGATTTCTCCCCTCCCCCCTTCCAAAAAGAAATTAAATAAATAAATAATGAATACATAAAAATACGGCAGTGATGATCAAAATACGTTATGCATTTCCGGCCGTTTTAATCAAGCATCAAACAATACCTTTGGAGGGGGTTATAATCGGAAGTATTTTTTGTTTACAGGGAGATGGGTGTATGACTGTGGGTGCTTATAAGCAGTGGTTGAGGGTTTTTCCCTTTTTCAGCCTGACGGTGACGGGACGGTGGACCAGTTTTCCACCCCCAAGGTTCAATCAAGTCAGTCCACTAAAAACGACTTTCGCAACACTGAAAGATGTCTCCAGAAAGTAACTAGTAAAATTTACCACTAAGTTCTTTAAATTCCAAAGAACTGAATGAATGAAATGTTTTTCAAGCCCGAGTCTTGAAATTCAAACTGATCCTTACGGCAAGACGATGAAGAAGTAAACAAAAGAATAAAACAAAAAATATATTATTTATATTTAAACAAATTGCCTAATATTTCGGTTTGAAAACAAACCATCTTCAGGGGCTAAAAGAAAAATGAAAGTAAAATTAAAAGCCTTGCCATAAGGATCAGTTTGCCGTTTCATATTTTTCTACAAGTTTAATTGTACTGATCCAGGTCTACAACTGGGAGATCCGGCACCACTCATTGGTTTGTTGCTGTGGACTTGCTGATATTATGTATATCTTAAACTTCGTTAAGAAAGAAAACAAGATTTTCAAAACCAACGCTGATTAAAGTTTAGAACAAAGACTCTTTCCAGCTGCGAGACACACTTGATCGGCCTCGCGGATTCCAGTTTCTATCGCAGTTGGTACAGTTGAGCACGATCGAAGACTTGTAGCTTCACCCGCAAAAAACAAGCGATCTTCAACAGGAGTGGCAATCACGTGACGAAGATCGTACGCACTCACAGTAGGGGATGTGTATCCACCGCGAATGTAGGGATGGTTTGACCAATGAAAATACACGTAGTCTAGGAAAGAATCGGTTGCAGGACGAGGATCGCTGGGTGTGCTGTGAAAAAATAATAATAATGATAATAATTTTGATAATAGTGATGATGATGACGACGACTCTACATCATGCTTTGCATCCGCAGGCTGATATTGACAAGCTTTACTTTAAAAGATCAGAGGGTGGTTAAGGATTTATGAGTGTTGAGGACTCTGTAAATAGTGAGATCAATAGACTTAGCAGGTGTGTTGAGAGTTGTAACGGCTCCCTGTTGTAGGCAGTGAACAAGGAAGAGGTTCTGAGATGTAATGTTAAAAGTTGTGAGGCTGCTTCATTACAGCAAGAAAGAAAAGAGCGCTTTCAGGAGAAACAACTTCACTGGCAGTTTTGGAACAACACGCTAATTAGAGATAAAAAGACGTGGGAGTGGCTGAAAAAGGGAAGACTAAAGAAGGAAATGGACGGTATGATTATCGCAGCACAAGACCAAGTCTTAACAGCGTGCAAAGAAAGTAGTGTCCGATAGCCCGGGGCTAGTGGATTTTGCTATCGGGCTAGTGAATTCTGTTCTTGACTTGCCCGACGGGCAAGTGAAGTTTTTTGAAGAATTCAAATTACAGAAGAACTGTGAAATCAATCTGCTCATCAAAATGCTTTTGGGGCTAGTTGAAATGATGTTTGGGCTAGTAAATGTTAGCTTCAGCTTGCCCGAATGGCAAGCTGTAAAAATGACTTTCTTTGCACCCTGCTTAAGAACTAATAGTATAAAGCGGATAATTGACAGGTAAAATGTGTCTGCAAAGTGTAGAATGTGCGGAGAAAGTGATGAGACAAATAATGATATTGTATCGGAATGCAAGAAACTTGCTCAAAAGCAATATCGATGATGGAGGCACAACAAAGTGGCGCAGGTGATTCACTGGGGTCTATGTGGAAAGTTGGGTTATGACAGGGATGAAAAATATTACAACCACGAGTCACGACCAGTGTATGAATCCAGTACTGAACAAACTGCTGTGGGACTTCAAAATACAGACTGACAACAAGGTTGAACACAACAGGCCTGACATTGTGGTATTGGATAAGATAGAACGGAAGTGCCTAATTATTGACGTTGCTTGTGCATTTGACATCCGAGTGAAAGGGAAGGAGAAAGAGGAAATTGAGAACTACCAAAAACTGAAGCGCGAGTTTAAATGGATCTGGAAATTGCGTAGAGTAAGTGTGGTGCCAGTCATAATTGGTGCATTAGGAACCGTCTCGAAAGACAAAGAAAAGTGGTTAGCAGAGATTGGTTGCACGTGTCGTTTAGAATCATTGCAGAGAGCGTTCCTACTGGGTACAGCCAGAATCCTTAGCAAAGTCTTAGTAGGACACCTAAGGTTACGGGTGGTGACTTGATGTTTAAGGAAGACACCAGCAAGCCATACAGATGCTTTGTTTAATGAGGATAATCATATTAATAATAACAAAGGGGCGCGCTTAGCTAAGGGGAGACTCATGAGGAGCTAGGCCGTTTCATTTGTGACACGTGTCCTGTATACTGCTAAGATGTCGAATAACTCCAGTAAGGTAATAAATAATGAGAGGAAGTTGAGCTTGGTGAACTAGACGCCAATAATAGGCATACATTGGGCTGCACGACTCAGTGGTGTAATGCTTTGGAGAGTATATTGCTCTGCTATACCTGCCAAGGGATTATAAGCAGTGTTCACTTCACGAAGAATGGGGCCGCTCTTTTTCGTAAACATTGACTTTTTGTTTTCTTTTTACCACGAAATGACTTCGGCGTTTTCATTAAAATTTTTAAGAACTTACAGTATCAAAATTTTCTTACCCGAACATCTCATCCAAATAGCTTAAGAACCCCTCCAAGACCTGTTGACTACTGAGGCTACTTTTCTGTTCCGCAGACTCAGCAGTTTCAAAGCCAACAACCACGTGACACTTGTCGTCATTAACAGCCGAGTCCCGTGGCCACATCCATATTTCACTTGTAAATCCCCGTACACTGAAAATTTGATGAATTTTCTTGGGCCAAAACCGGCGTTTGAATTGACAAATAATTTTCCACGCTCCAAGCATCTGGATTGTGTTTATGGCTCTGTTTTTGTCAGCGGGAAGTTCTGGAACAAAAGTGATTTCCCTATCTTTGATGATTGTAAGCGGGACAGTAATGACGACGTATTTAGCGGTTATAATTTCCCCGTGTTGATTCTTCAAAAGAATTCTTCCACCAGCATTTAATCTGTGCCTGTCTTCATCTGCAAAAAAAATAGCGCTCACTGAACGTGAAAATAAATACTTCTTAGCGGAGAGTTGCAAATTTTTCAAAACAAAATGTTGCATAGAAAATCGACTTTACACCGTTATGTCAGCGTTTTAAACCAGACTTTCCGGACCTGGAGCCAGTTACTCCCAAACTAAGCCTTTGACGGGCGTTATCTAGACCGGTTATACATTTTAGATCACTTTTCTGCCGAAATTTAGGCCCAGTTCATAGGTCGTGCTTCCACAGTGCTTTTGTCAAACTTATTCAAAAATTAAGTCGGCATGGCAGAAGCACGACGTATGAACTGGGCCTTAGTCCGCAATATTTACACGAGGAAAAATGAAAACAATCAAACGACCTTACCTTTTAAAAAACTCATTTCTCGACCTCAAATTTTTTATTATTAATTTTTGGGAATACCACGAGTCTAAACTGTCTTCTAAAGCGTTCTGACGTCTTTTCAAGTTGCAGGGTTTTAACACGCCTGCGTCTTCTCGTTAAAAGGAATTTCGAAAAGCAGAGATTTTTTTATCAATGCGCTAAGGAATGGAACTTTTAAGACGCATTTTTTGAAAGAAATTAACTCTCTTCTTCTTTTCAAACAGAGCAGCAAAAGCTGTATATTTTAGATATTTATAGCTTTTAATATTTAATTTTAATCTATCTGACATTTTAACATTTTTAACCTGTAGCTTATATTAGTCAAGTTTTTGTTCTTAACTTTTACTTGTCATTACTATTGCGTATTCATTTATTTAAGATCATTTATTTTTCTATTGTTTTACAGGGCGTCACTGCACTGTAATTTTCAGGGAGTTATAATAACTCCTCTAGTGGGGCTAATTTAACTCCTTACAGTGGAGTTATTTTTCGTGGAGTTACTTTAACTCCTAAAAGGAGTTTAAAGAACTCTTTTTCAGGAGTAAAAGTGACCCCAGATATTGAGGAGTTAAAATAACCCCAAAAAAGGAGTTATCCTGTACCTAAAATTTTTACTCCACTTTCAGAGTTAAATTAGCTCCAATCCACTTTCAGAGTTAAATTAACTCCAAAAAGAGTAAAAACAACCCATGTAAGGAGTAAAAGTAACCCCATTTCGGAGTAATTTTAACTCCAGACTGGGAGTAAAAAGAACTCTTTTTCAGGAGTAAAAATGACCCCAAATTCGGAGTTAAATTAGGAGTTAAAATAGCCCCAAAAAAGGGGTTATCCTGTACCTAAAATTTTTACTCCATTTTTGGAGTTATAATAACTCCCTAAAAATTACGGTGTGTTCGTGACAGCTTGGCTAGTACTTGCGTGATGACTTGTTGTGATGTTTAAACATGGCCAAGTGAGTGTAATTAATATTTATTTATGATATTCAAAATACCGTGTACCCTATATAAAACATGCCACTTCTTCTTTTCATTTCCATCGCATTAAGATTTTAAGATTAGAATGACTTTTAAGTCTGTAATCCCAGTGACTTGTTTTATTATATGTTATGATATGTAACCAAGAAACAAGCAAAAAAGCATTCGCGGGGATTCCCCGAACTTTAAATACGTAGGAGCTAACTTTAGATGTAACTTTGCCCGTTCCCTGAGTAAAAGCGTCAGTAATGTTGTTTGTGACATTCTGTTAGAAATCAAAATTCACTTTTATCCTTGCTCGTACGGTTAAAAATAACAGGGAAATGTCATGGGGACTGATGCTCTCTTTCGAAGTCAGACGGCGGGAAGCGTGAGAGGTCTTTGTCAGGACTAATTTGTGAAATTGTTAATTCCTTTGGTTAGGGAAATTAAGCTATATATTTGTCAGGAAGAAGTCAGAGAATTTTGGAAACCTCTGGCTGTGGCATCCATAAAAATGGACTATGCCGCTGAAGTTTAGTGATTAGGGTTAGTAAACTGAGTGAATCATGTTTCAGGTCAGTGTTTTCAGTATAATGGCCCTAAATGGAACCTCAGTGATTCTTTCAGTTTCCTAACCCTGATCACTACGAGATCAGGGCTTCAGTGGCATAGTCCATTCTAGGGTAGTCCATACGGGTAGTCCATGGACTAGGGTCAATGTTTTGTCCACCACCTGGAAAAACATCATGCATGGCTGGTGTGGAACGAAAATGATAGCTGTGGGTGGATTTAACAGGTCTGAACCAGGCAAGTTCCCTTCGAACCGATGAGATTGGTTGTAATATTAAAAAAACCGCCTCATTCTACTGAAAACTTTAATACGCTGTGATTTTACCTTAGAAGGCAATTTTAAAAATACAGTAGAGAACATGCAAAGAAATGGCAGACACAGTGTGACTTCTTTTTTGTCCATTCACACATCACTAAGCCAAATCATCTTAAGCGATAAACCTTAATGTTAATGTAGAACCCGGCGTTCTCAACGAACTCATAGGTGAACCTCTTTCTACTACTCAGGAACACTCTTCTATCTTCGATATTTACAGCATTTTACTTTTAAACTCTAAAATGCACTACAATGGCAATTTTTAACAATTGCCTTTATAAGTGTGTTTTCAGAGTTTGAAAGTAAAATGCTCGAAGTGTCGAAGACAGAAGAAGACACAATACACTCACATGCGCAAGGTAGTGCATGCTTCATCTCCCTTTCGGGCTAGTTGGATTCGTCAATTACACGTATCTCCACTAAATTAAAAAAATGCTAATGCTTAAGTTTGTAACAAGTGTTCTAAAATTAGAGGAGGTCACTGAAAATCTTCTTTCGAAGCCTTTGTTGCCCCTTGATCAGTTAAATCCAGTTCATCTTTCTTGATCACGCTTGTTTATTCTACTTAGCGTCTTCAACCTTGGAAAATAAGACAAATATACCTCAGACGAGTTTCACAGGCACCGCTGAAAGTTGCTATAGACGAAACTAAATGAAAACTATACTAACAAAAATAATATATATATTTTAAAACTTAGCGACACAAGTTGACGTACCCTAATGACATTTTATGACACCATTACATACCTAAAAAAAAAACTTAGGCAATTTTGACCACGCTCTACGGAGCCATATGGACTTCCACTTACCCCCTGATTCTTCCACGGTTGTATTTCCCACCTCTTTACTTTTGCTTACATGCAAGGGGATACTATTTGAATGAAACATAACATCACTTATTGTCCCCATAGATTAGGCCGTATACTCGAAATAAAAACATACAAAATTATTGAAGTAACAATTTTTCAAACTATATGATCATGAAGCATATACCTGATTGAATGGTTGCTCGCTATGTTCGATTGGTTGTTTTCTATTAGGAGGCCACTGCTGTATGTTGATTTCCCTTTGACTCCCGGGTTTGCGATTATGTTCGTTCAAGTCTTCACAGTTTATCCTCGGTGACGGAACGGTTTTGGTTCTCTTCAACAGAAAGAAATACAGAGTTTGGAGAGCACATATTAGTATTGTGCATACAACGATTAAAATAGCCAGGCCTTGAAAGCACCCCATATTTCTTCGCGTAACTAAGTGTCTTCTCTTCAGTATCTTTTGCATCGGCTGCTGTTAAAGCCAATTAGTGTATGTAATTAGTGTATGACCAATCAATCCGATTGGTCGATTTCTTCAAGGGCCACGGACCTGAAAACCAGCTAAATTAGAGATATTGGCGTTGCGTCGTCATAAATAATTTCTATTTCCTTCTTATTTGTTTATTTTGTTCAGTATTGTTCAAAATGAGCCTTGAGGCATTTGGAGTGTAAGTAAGTATGACGAATCAATACCATTGGTCAATTTCTTCCAAAGGGCACTGACCTCAGTGAAGAAAGTAAGAACACTGCGGAATATTTGCCATATTTCTAATTTGTGGTTTATTTTGTTCAGTATTTTTTGATACTTTATATGTATTTTGCACCAAAAAGGCGTGCATTGTTTGGTGAAATCACAGCCGAAAGGGCAATGTTTTAACACCCCTAACTGTCAAGTGGACTGTTCCATCTCGTTAAGGGGACTTAGAAATTTCGTCCCGAGTCATGTTGGCAAGAAACCCCGTGTAATTCGTAGTCGAGTCGTACGAGTAATACGAGTGGAGGAAGTGCTTGTCCACTTGACAGACTAAACTGTCGAGTGGACTTTTACATCCCATTAAGGGGACTTGAAAATTTTGTCGCTTGTCATGTACCCCGTGTAATTTACTGTTAAGTCGTACGAGTCATAGGAGTAGAGAAAGTGCTTGTCCAATTGACAGAGTAAACTGTTGAGTGGACTTTTGCATCTCATTAAGAGCTTAGAAATTTTGTCGCTTGTCAGAGACCCCGTGTAATTTGTAGTCAGGACGTACAAGTGGAGAAAGTGCATCTCATTAAGGGGACTTGGAAATTTTGTCGCTTCTCATGTACCCCGTGTACTTTGTAGGCGAGTCGTACGAGTCATAGGAGTAAAGAAACTGCTTGTCTACTTGACAAAGTAAACTGTCGAGTGGACTTTTGCATCTCATTAATGGCTAAGAAATTTTGTCCCTTCGCATGAACCCCGTGTAGTTTGTAGTCGAGTTGTACGGGTGGAGAAAATGCTTGTACACTTGACAGAGTAAACTGTCGAGTGGAGTTTTACATCTGATTAAATATTTAGAAATTTTGTGGCTTGTCAGAGACCCAGTGTAATTTGTAGTGGAGTCGTTCGAGTAAAGAAAATGCTTGAAAAGTGCGCGAAAAATTGACAGAGTAAACTGTCGCGGGGACTTTTAAATCTCATTAACTAAGGCGACTCAGAAATTTTGTCGCTTGTCATGTACCCCGTGTAATTTCTAGTCGAGTCGTGCAAGTGGTGCTAGTGGAGAAAGTGCTTGTCCACTTGATAGAGTAAACTGTTGACTGGCCTTTTGCATCTCATTAAGGGGACTTAGAAATTTTGTCGTTCGTCATGTATCCCGTGTAATCTGTAGTCGAGTCGTAGGAGTGGAGACAGTGCTTGTCCACTTAACAGAATTAACTGTCGTGTGGACTTTTGCATCTCATTAAGGGCTTAGAAATTTTGTGGCTTGTCAGAGAACCCACGTAATTTTTAGTCGAATCGTACGAGTGGAGAAAGTGCTTGTTCACTTGACAGAGTAAACTGTCGGGTGGACGTTTGCGTCTGATGAAGGGGACTTAAAAATTTTGTTGCTTGTCATGGACCCCGCGTAATTTGTAGTCGATTCGAACGAGTGGAGAAAGTGCTTGTCTATTTGACAGAGTAAACTGTCGAGTGAACTGTTGCATATCATTAAGGGCTTAGAAGTTTTGTCCCTTGGCAGAGACCCCGTGTAATTTGTAGTCGAATCCTACGAGTGGAGAAAGTGCTTGTTCACTTGACAGAGTAAACTGTCGTGTGGACTGTTGCATCTACTTAAGGGCTTTGAAATTTTGTGGCTTGTCAGAGACCCCGTGTAATTTGTAGTCGAATCTTAAGAGTGGAGAAAGTGCTCTTCCAATTGACAGAGTAAACTGTTGTGTGGACTATTGCATCTC